TCATTCGAAGCCTAGTTAATCATAAAGGCATTACTTAAAAAAAATGGGAAGATAATAGGATAAAAGATATTTAGATAAAGAAGATTAAAAATTTAAAGTGAAAAACTTTAAAGACAAAAGTACAGAAAGGTAAAAAAAGAGAGAAGATGTAGAAAGATAAAAAAAGATAGGAAGATAAAAAATGTAGGAAGACAAGAATTTTAAACCCACAAAATAGGAAGAAAAAAAAAAAAAACTAGAAGGAAAATAAGCAACTAAGGGTAAAAATACAAACCTTAGGGGGGAAAAAAAAAACTAGAAGATAGAAATAAGATAAAAATGGTTGAAAATGTCAAGTAAGGTATTACACAGATAGAAAATGCAAAAAGCTAAGACAACTATTAGATACAGACATACTTATTAAAGCAAAAAGAGGGAATTGGAAGGGGGTATATATCCCCCAAAGATAAACTTAAAATAACGCTTTTTACTCTAAACTTTTTAAATTTGGATTCATCAGGACTTAGTGCTGCGGAAAGGCATATGTATCCAAAAAATGTACATAAGCCTAAAGTACTTTGGAAAGATATTCTAACAGGACAATGGAAAGGTCCTGACCCAGTGATTGTCTGGAGTCGGGGTTTTGTTTGTGTTTTTCCACAGGGAGAACAGCAGCCCATTTGGATTCCATAGAGATTAACTAAAACAGTTTCTACAGATCGAAAAGAAGATGATTTGACTCAAATCCATAACAGCAGATATCCAGAACTCCAGCTTGGCCATTCTTACATCTGCGACAGTGATTAACCAGTGATGCAAATTTTATTTCCTTGCCAGTGCACCCCATGTTAGTTGTGGTAGTGCTGGCATATCTTTGCTGATGGTGTCACCAGTGATGCAATTTTTCCCAAGGAGCCGTCAATTGGCTTGGTGTCGTGGCATTTCTGTATCCTCCTCCCTTCTGCTAGTGATGGTCTAAAATTTGGGGGCCAATGGCTTATGCTGGACCGGTAGTCAGTGACGGGTATGATCCAATTGCAGTGGTATCAACCTAAGACAGGAGGCTGACGCCTAAAGGTCAGTTTTCCGATGACGGGTAAGAACCATATGTTGAATTGGACAACCTACCAGGCACGGTCCATAAGCCACATTAACCTCACTCCCCCACTGGCACCAAGGCCAAATTTGGGGGCCAACAGAGGTGAGGCAAAGAACCTCACCCCCCCACTGGTGCATAGACCTATCCACAAGTATGGCTGTATGCTGGACCGGTAGTCAGTGACGGGTATGATTCAATTGCAGTGGTATCAACCTAAGACAGGAGGCTGACGCCTAAAGGTCAGTTTTCCGATGACGGGTAAGAACCATATGTTGAATTGGACAACCTACCAGGCACGGTCCTTAAGCCACATTGCTTGTTGTTTAATTAATCAGAAGGGGGGAGATGCTGGGAGCCATTAGCCAAGTAAGTATGACAATTTCCTTGCCAGCGTACCCCATGTTGCAGTGACATTGAATGTACTTAACCTTGCTCAAGGACCAAGGCAGATTAGGGTGTTCCCGGTTTTAAGATAATCTTGTTTAGGGCGTTCCCAGTTTAGGTTCCAGGTTTAAGGTTTAAGATTATTCCTGCTGGGAATAGGGCGTATCCTGCTGCCTGAGTTCCCCTTGAGTTCTCACGGGATTCAGACAGTATATTTTGGAGATAGAAGCCCAGTGGAGGTGAATTTGGGAGAGAAGGAGGATTTGGGAAGAGAACGTGGATTTCCCCAGAACGTGATTGTAGACGGCTGGTGTGAGTTCGGGAATAAAGAGTTGCTGTTTGAATCTACAAGCTGTGTGGTGGCTCGTGATTGTGTGCCCAGCCAGACTGCGGCATTTGTGCCCAGCCAGACTGCGGCAAGCTACACCACATCCTGGTTCTCTTATTATTTTTATTTTATAGGTCAGATTTTCTACATAGACATCATGTTTACTGTGAAGTGTTTTACTTCTTTCATCCCAATGTGTAGGGCTTTACTTTATTTTCTCTTTTTTTGGTGTTCCATCAAAGTGGTGAGAGAGCATGTGATACTTTTTCTTGGTCTTGGGGAGCACTGGGTCTTCCCTGTGATGTGTGAACTTCACAGTAGGTTTCTCTTTATCAGGCTGAAGAACCTCACTTCTGTTCCTAGTTTTCTGGGAGTTCTCATCAGGAATGGACGCTAGATTTTATCAAATGCTTTTCCTGCATCTTTTGCAATGATCAAGTGGATTTTCTTTTTCCTTTTATTAATATGGTGAATTGCATTGATTATTTTTGAGTATTTTCCTAGTTGAGATGCAATTTTCTTCTTATATTGCTGTTGGGTTCTATTTGCTAAAATTCTGCTTAGGATGTTTGCATTTGTGTTCAGGGAAATTCATCTGTAGTTTTCTTTTCTTATAATATCTTTTATATGGTATAAGAGAAATAGGTTGGGATGTATTCCATGTCTTTCTGGAAAAGTTGCTGTGAAATGGGTATTACTTTCTTCTTAAATATTTTCTAGAATTAACCAGTGGTGGCATATGGGTCTGTAACCGTCTATAAGACTTTAGTTATAGCTGCTTCCTTTTTTATTTTTTAAAATATTTTTAGTTGTAGATGGACACAATAGCTTTATTTATTTATTTTTATGTGGTGCCGAGATTCAAACCCAGTGCCTCACATGTGCTAGGCAAGTGCTCCACCACTGAGCTACAATCCAGCCCTAGCTACAGCTTCATTAATAGAAGGCTGCTTGGTTTCTCTTTTTGACTGAGATTTGCTAGTGTCTTTCAAGGAGTTTATCAATTTGATCTAGGCTCTGAATTTCTCTGCACAGGTCTTAAAACATTTCCTGGTTGTCCTTTGCTGTCTGGAGGCTGTGCATTGTGACTCTTTTTCATTCTCCTGTGGCTTTCCTCTTTTCAGCCTGACCCATTTGGCTAGAGGTTTATCGCGATTACTGTTCTTCCCATAAAGCCTGCATCTTGTAAGTTGCTTTTCTTTACTGTTGCTTTTCTATTTCTTTAATATCTGATAAGATCTTTAAAATTTTACTTTTCCTGCTTATGTTAGGTTTAACGTGCTCTTCTTTTTCTAGGTGAGGTCACCGATTCAAGCTCTTCTTTTAACGCAGGGGTCTAGTGCTATAAATTTCCCTGAGTACTGCTTTAGCAGTGCCCCACAAATTGTGCCATATTTTCACTTTTTTTTCAATTCAAAATACTTTTTTTTTTTATTTCCTTTTCGATTCCTGCCATAACTGTAGACTTTGGAAGCATGTCATTTATTTCAAACATTTGGGGATTTCCCCGAGGCCTACTGATTTCTCGTTTATTTCCATTGTGGTTAGCTGGTATATACTGTAGGACTGAGGCTCCTTTCAAGTTATGGAGATTTATTTTATGGCCCAGAAAATGACTCTCTTGGTGAATGCTCCTTGTGCACTTGGAAAGACAGTGTGTAAGCCGTTGCTGGTGGAGTGTTGACTCGTTAGATGATAGAATTGTTGAAATTGACTCATCTTCTGCTTTTCTGCCTACTTCTCTATCAATTACTAAGAGGCTGAAATCTCCAGTGGTGTCTTGGTCTGTGAGGGCTGCCACACAGAAGCCACAGCTGGGTGACTGAACATCAGACACTTCTCTCCATCCATAGGCTGATGTCCAGGATCAAGGGCTGGCCCCTAGGGCCTCAGAGGTGGCCATGGGCTGGTGAGATGACCCCCTACCTGCTGTGTCTCTTAGGGTTTCCTCACACATGTGCCTGTGGGGAGTGAGGCAAATCCCCCTCCCTCTTTGGCAGGGCCTGTTTTCCCACCAGATTAGGAGTGCACACTCAGGATCTCAACCCTGCTGGCCTCTCCGCATGTGGGTGTGAGGACGGCATACACTTCTGCACTCAGCAGAGTCTCACTGCAGACCTCTGTTTCTGTTTGCAGTTACATTTGTTTTATTTTCCTGTATTTTGGAGCTCTTTATTGGAGGCATACACATATAGAATTTTTATGTCCTCCTCGTCACTCACCCTCCACCTTGTGAAATGACTTTCTTCATACTCGGTGACAGTATATATCTGATATATCCGTTTTTTTTTTTTTATATTAATAGAGCTACTCCAGCTTTATTTGACTAGTGATAGCAATTTTCCTTTAAAACTATTTCTGTTTTTGCTTATAAAGTGTATTTTTGCACTGAGAGTTGGTTCTTGCTTTATTTTCCCAAACTTCAAGTCTGTTATTTAACTAGAATATTTATTTTTTATTTTTGCAGTACTGGGGATAGAATCCTGTTTACTTATTTATTTATCTATTTATTTATTTATTTTTGTGGTACCAGGTATTGAACCCAGGACCTTGTGCATGCAAGGCAAGCACTCTACCAACTGAGCTATATCCCCAGCACTAGAATCCTGTTTTTAATTTTTTTTTTGTTATTTAGATAGATACAATACCTTTATTTTATTTATTTATCTTTATATGGTGCTGAGGATCAAACTCAGGGCCTTACATGTGCTAGGCAAGTGCTCTACCACTGAGCTACAACCCCAGCCCAGAATCCTGTTTTTATTTTATTTTTTTTTAAATTTTGTTACAGGGGGGATTCTACCCAGGGGCACTTTACCACTGAGATACATCCTCATCCCTTTTTTAATTTCTTTATTTTGAGACAGCTCACCCTAAGTTCCCCCAAAACTGGTCCTGAACCTTTAGTTCTCCTGTCTCAGCCTCCTGGGCAGCAGGGACACAGGAGTGTCCATTATGCCTGGACCTTGGCATTTTATGTGCTTATTGATGTGTTTGGGTTTGAGTCTGGTTTCATTTGTGCCATTGCTCTTCCCTTTTCCCTGCATACCTTTTGGGTTAACTGCTTTAAGACTCCATCTCATCTCTTCTGTTGGCTTGCTAGCTCACCCTGCTGTGCTTGGTGGTGACTGCTCCAGGGCGTAGCAGACTCCACGTGCAGGGGTCCTGTGGCTCTGAGTTGCAGTCCTGGCCTCTTCCCCTGTTGCCCAGGTGAACGAGTGGCAGGATGACTGGGCGACCTTTTTCACCCGGCACCGGCTCCAATCACAGCTGGACCTCATCGAGAAGGACTATGCTGACCGGGAGGCACGAGAACTCTGGTCAAGGCTGCAGGTGGGTGCAGCAGTCACTTTTCAGGGAAGTAGGCTGTCCTCTCAGTAGCCCACCCCATTCATTCGGGTTTCCCTGGGAGGACATAGTCCTGGAGCAGACGCTTGGCTGAGCCATAGGGTATGTAAGCTGAGGCTTTCCTCAGGAGGAGCAGCTACCTGGCTCTGAGTGGTGATTTTGCTATTACTCCTATTATGGTTGATGACACTTATGTGCTCTTGCTTTTGGTCCTCTGTCAAAGCACAAATATCTCTCCATTAGTGAAGACACGGTTACCAGTGCAATGGACTACCAACCAATGTTAGAATTATTCATCAGTCGAGGGTGGGCTTGCATCGATGAAATTCCATTTCACTCATTAATGAGGTAATCAGCAGGATAAGAAAGAGATGCAGATATTTAAAAATTAAAAAAAAAATAGTGGTATATGGACACAATACCTTTATTTTACTTATTTTTATGGGGTGTGGATTGAATCCAGTTCCTCACACATGCTAGGCAAGTGGTCTACCACTGAACTACAACCCCAGCCCAGAGATGCAGATATTATATGTGCAGCTAAAATAGACCAGAATGTTTGCTAAGTCAGGAACAAAACTGGCTTAGTCTTCAGGATGATAAAAAAGCACTCTGGGAGTCTGAACAGTGCAGAGATGATTAGCTCTGCAAACCTCTGGACATAATTTACTACTAGTCAACAGGAGGCAAAGCTGCACTCCCCTGGGGTCAGATGACCCTAACCTCTGGTAGACAGTGCATGGTTAGACCTTGAACCAACATGTGGCTGTCTTTGTCTTATTTCCGAGAACTGGATGCTGTCCCTTAACTGTCTAACGGTTGCTTTCCTAGGTGAAGATCCCTGATCTGTTTTGTGGCCTAGAGATTGTCCCTGCCCTGCTGCATGGGGATCTCTGGTCAGGAAATGTGGCTGAGGATGATGAAGGGCCCATTATTTATGACCCAGCTTCCTTCTACGGCCATTCTGAGTTTGAACTGGCAATTGCCTTGATGTTTGGGGGGTTTCCCAGATCCTTCTTCACAGCCTACCACCGGAAGATCCCCAAGGCCCCGGGGTTTGACAGAAGGCTGCTGCTGTACCAGCTCTTTAACTACCTAAACCACTGGAATCACTTTGGGCGGGAGTACAGAAGCCCATCCCTGGGCACCATGAGGAAGCTGCTCAAGTAGCAGAAGGCTCCAGCAAAGGGCAGGGAGCACCTGAATAAAGTCGGAGCAGGCTCTTGGGTCCCAACTGGGTGCTGGTTTCATCTGCGTCCACCCTGCATGCAGCTGGTCTGGAGTCCTAGGGCCCAGTCATTGGGATAGCCTCCAGGTGTCTTAACTGGTTGCCATGAGGGCAAAAGATGGATTCCTGGAAGCCCTGCAGAGGTCCACACACACCGTGATTGGCTCAAGCTGATCCCGATGCCTGAGGTGCGGAGCCCGCACCACACGGAGGGTGGACGGGCAAGTGAGGCCTGTGGTGCTGTGTCTCCCGGGCCTGGGGCTGCTTCCATCAGCGTGTCCGCGGGCTCAGGGGCCTGGACTTGAGCAGCTGGAGTATCGGGGTGCCCCGGGGCCGGGCGTCTGCGTTGTAGGAGGGCTAGTTTCCTGAACGCCAGGCTGTCACAACTGAAGGGCCGCTGGGGACGAGACCGGTCGGGGTCCTCCGGGAGCTCAAGCCGTGCGGGGCCCCGGGCTCCGCCCCGCCGCGCCGCCAAACCCCCGCTCCGTCACCTTCGCCTCTAGATCCCGCCCCGCGCGTCCAAACCCGCCTCCGGCCTCGCCCCACTTCGCGGGTCTCCGCATCCAGACCCCGCCCTGGATCCCCTGGGCCCGGCTTCGAATCTAGAGGCCGCCCTCGCTCCCCGCCCACCCCGCTCGGCCACGCCTCACACCCGCCCTGGCCTCCCGCACCGCTCCGCTCGGCCCCACATCCAGGCCCCGCCCTGGCCCCCCGCACCGCTCTGCCTCGGCCCCACATCTAGGTCCCACCCCGGCTCCCTCCCGCGGCCCCCGTGAACTCAGTCTCCACATGCGCAGTCCCCCAGTTCCCCGTCCCCGCCCCGGCTCACAGACCCCGCCCCCTACTCCTCCCCTGAGCTCAGATCCCTCCCCGTCGGGGGTCAGTCCGCACTGGGGCTCCGCCCTCCCGGGCCTGCTGACTTCTAGCGCATGCGCATCATCGGGCACCGCCCCCTCCACGCGCTCCCATTTGGCGGCTGGCGCGCCTCGTAGCGGGGTCGGAGGTCGCGGGGCGGAGCCAGCAGCTGCCGGGCTGCAGCCTTGGGGCCGGTGCTGGTCCTCTGCCGGTGCCGGGATGGCCTTAAGCGACTTGCCTGTGGCGGGTGCAGCGGAGGAGGAGGCAGAGGACGAGGCGCTGGCCCGTGGCGCCGCCCTGGAAGCGTTCGGCGAGAGCGTGGAGATCCGCGCGCTGCTCGGCCGCCTGCGGGTGGTGCATGGCGAGCGCGCAGCCCGGGAGGTGGCGGAGGAGCGGTTCCGCGGTGCGGGCCGGACCGGGAGGGCAGGCGAGGGGGGCAGCCCGACCCCGACCCCGACCCCGGCCTCGCCTCGCGTGTCGCTGCGGCGCGCACCCGGGAGCGTGGGCACCTGCCCCGCCCTGCAGGAGCGGGACAAAGCGCCGCTTTGTGGGGCCTCGGTGCCCCGGGAGGGAGCGGGAGCAGCGGCCCGCGCTGAAGCGGGGAGGACCCGCGCAGAGCGAGGGCGCGTGGCGAGCAGCGCTGGAGCTAGGTTCCTTGTTAGCCTGAGTCCTCCACGGCCTGCCAGATGAGCCTGCGTCCTTCAGTCAGGGTTTTGCACTTGAGTGAAACCATTTCTTTCTTTTTTTTTTGCGGACCCTTTTAGCTAAAGAGGTCTCTGCTGATCCTGTGCTCTTGTCTTCCTTGTTTTGGAATGACGGCAGAGGCAGGTGGTGGATCCCGTGGAAAGAGTGTGGGTTTTGATGACGCAGGCCCTGGGTTCGAGCCTTGTCTCTGTCTCTTGGTCTGGTTAGGTCTAGAGTAGCAGTTCTGCTGCTCTAAACTTGCCTTAATGATAAGGCAGACAGGTACAGAACTGTCGTGAGAGTGAGATGAATCCAGGGACCCGTGAAGGCCCACCTTCCCATTCCTGGGAAGTGGGCGTTATGGTCAGGCTGCCCTGTTAAGAGAAGTCAATGGATTGGGAAAAAGTGGTTTTAGCAGCTGGGGGTGGGGTGAACAGCAGGTGTTCTGGGGATAAGGAGCCAGTGGGGTCCTGGGTTGAAGAGCTGGCAGGGATGGGAGAGCACATTGCATGATGTGCTCGGCAGGGGAGCAGGGAATGCTTGGAAGGGGTGAGTCTCAGAAGTGGGAAGGGGGGCCCTGGAGGGTGAGTGGGGGGCGGAGTGGGGAGAGACCTGGTTAGGGAGGGTGCATTCAGTGGTGCCAGAAGAGGACCCAAGAGGAGGGTGTGCTGAGCCAGTGACCAGCAGACCATGCCACAGTGGCCTGCTGGAGCATGGTGGATTGCTCACCCCAGGGCCCTGTGTGGCACCTGTCAGAAGTTAAGTGTGCTGGGAGCTGCAAGGGCTTACATGCACGTTTGGTGTGTGTGAAAGGGGGAGCTGCCCCAGGGCTCACATGCATGTTTAGTGGGTGGATGGTCAATATTCGTGTTATTTTCTTTTTAGTAATAATGGACAAGTATCAGGAGCAGCCTCATCTGTTGGACCCACACCTTGGTAAGCACTGAAATTGATGATCACAAAGTCCTGTGAATGGTGATGGCTCCTGTGTGTGCTACTCCCAGAAGATACCAGGTGACGTGTCCATGGTACAGGTCTCATTTGCTGGAAGGCCTGGTAGCTACTTCTAGTGCACCTTTGGTGTGACTTGAAGTCCAGGTCTTACTTTAGATCGTGCACAGATGTGTCTGAGCTGCTTTCTCCTGCTGCTCTTTGGGAACACATCTTTTCTTCTTGCGTGTGTCTTAGTTTGTTAAGTCTGGGCACAGGGTGTCCTGCTGGTAATCATCACACGGGTCCCCATTCCACACCCATAGCAGCTAAGGAGAGTGTCTGCCATCTCCATTTTTATAGATGGAGACACTGATCCGGACCTGCAGTGGATGTCTTTAAATATTTGACCATTTCATACAGATTAATTTTTTTCCTTTTTGTCCTGGTCCTGAACCTGGGAAGGAGAAGATAGCCCTGGTGACTAGGTTGGAGAGGCAGCAGGGGCAGGTGCATAGGCTCACATGGGGCTCTGTCACTCAGGGGTTGGTCTGTGGCTGGAGGATGGGGTGTGCAGACCTGTGTGAGAGACGCCCTGTGGTGTGCACATGCTCATGTTGAATTTCTCTTCTCCCAGTGATGGGATTTTCAGGTGGGCCTTGTGAACTCACCTGTTTCAGCCCCTGTGTCCCGACCTGCCGTTCCCTGAGGATTGACATGCTCTGGGTCTTTCTTCCTAGGTGGAATGTTTGTAGACAGATGGCTGAAGACATTCTCCTACAGTACAGGGACATCACTCTGTGGTGTTGTGGTCACTGCTGTGCTCCTCCTTCTTTTGTGCCGAGTTAGATGTTGGCTGTCTGTAGCGATCCTTGGGGTCTTAGCTTCTCTCTGAGTCCTCTACTTTTGGTCTCTTGCATGACGATGAAGTTCTTTACCTTGTTATTTATTTTTTAAAAATTTTTTTTCAGTTGTAGATGAACACACAGTATCTTTGTTTATTTTTATGTGGAGCTGAGGATTGAACCTAGTGCCTCGCACATGTGAGGCAAGCGCTCTGCCACTGAGCTACAGCCTCAGCCCTCCACCTTGTTTTGACTGTTGTGTTACCTTCTTGAGAGCCCGACTGGGAGCCCGCAGTGCTTGGTGACTTGCTTTTCTGCCTGAGGGGCACTGTGCAGCCCCTCTGGCCCTCTCCAGGCCTGCTGAGCCGTTGTTATCAGGGCTGGCTCCCAGTTCAGCTTCTAGCTTCCCCTCTCCAGAGAGGGTTGTCCAGTAGGACTTCGTTCACTGACAGAATGGTCTAGATCTGTGCTCTCCCCCAGGCTGGCACTAGCTACATGTGGCCTTGAGCACCTGTGTGTGTCTAGTGTGAATGAGAAGCTGAATTTTTTTCTAAAAGTTTTTTTTTTTTTTTAAAGATGGACACAATATCTTTATTTATTCATTCATTTATTTATTTATTTATTTAACGTGGTGCTGAGGATCGAACGCAGTACCTCACAAGTGCGAGGCAAGCACTCTTCCGCTGAGCTATAACCACAGCCCTGAGAAACTGGATTTTTAATCTGACTTAAATTGAAAATACCAATGTGGCTAGGTCTGTAGGGTTGACTGCTGCAGCGTAAACACCGGGTCTTGCCAGGGCAACGTGCTGCGCTTCACCCCCTGCTGGACCACCAGTTGTGCCTGCCTTCCAGCTTCTGGGCAGTTTTCTTCCCTTCACTTATGCGTTTACATATTTAGTTCTTTTTTTTTGGGGGGGGGTGCACCAGGGATTGAACCTAGGGGTGCCTAACTCCTGAGCCACAACCCCAGTCCTTTTCATTTTTTATTTTGAGTCAGGGTCTTGCTAGTTGCTTAGAGCCTCTAAGTTGTTGAGGCTGGCTTTGGATTCATGGTCCTGCTGCCTTAGCATCTTGAGCCTCAGGGGTTACAGGTGTGTGTAACCAAGACCTGCTGTATGTCTTTAGTGTTTTTTTTTTTTTAATATAGTTTTAGTTGTTGATGGACCTTTATTTATTCATTTATTTATATGTGGCGCTAAGAATCGAACCCAGTGTCTCACATATGGTAGGCAAGCACTCTGCCACTAAGCTAAAACCCCAGACCTATCTTTAGTTCTTTAGAACTGCAGGTTTTTTTCTTTTTTTCTTTTTGTGGTGCTAAGGAGTCAAACCCAGGGCCTAAGCACTATACCAGCTGAGCTATGTCGCCAGCCCCGTTATCTTTATTTATTTATTTTTTTAAATATTTATTCTTAAGTTTTAGGTGGACACAATATCTTTATTTTACATTTATGTGGTGCTGAGGATCGAACCCAGTGCCTCGTTCATGCTAGGTGAGCGCTCTACCACTGAGCCAAAACCCAAGCCCATCTTTAGTTCTTGATGACTCTCTTACTGGGCTTCTGGGGCAGCAGAGAGAAACTGTGCCTTCTGTATGGGTCATTGGCTCTCTGGGCCCCCAGTGATTGTGCAGGGGTTGTGAGATCTGTCCTAAACTTTCTGAGCCAGGGAGTTGCTTGCGCTCTGCTGATCCCTGAATTCTCTTTCCTTTGGGACAGTGTTGCAGTGAAGGGCTGGTCCTTTCCTTATTTACGACAGACATGGAAGGGCTGTTCGCTGCTTCTGTGAGTGTAGTTTCCAGTGTGTTGTAGCAGCAGTGTGAGGGTGGACGGGCAGATGTCCTGTGAGGTGGTAGGTGGTGGAGATGCGGCAGTGTGAGGGTGGACGGGCAGATGTCCTGTGAGGTGGTAGGTGGTGGAGATGCAGTAGTGTGAGGGTGGACGGGCAGATGACCTGTGAGGTGGTAGGTGGTGGAGAGGTGGCAGTGTGAGGGTGGACGGGCAGATGTCCTGTGAGGTGGTAGGTGGTGGAGGGGTGGCAGTGTGAGGGTGGATGGGCAGATGTCCTGTGAGGTGGTAGGTGGTGGAGAGGTGGCAGTGTGAGGGTGGATGGGCAGATGTCCTGTGAGGTGGTAGGTGGTGGAGATGCAGCAGTGTGAGGGTGGATGGGCAGATGTCCTGTGAGGTGGTAGGTGGTGGAGATGCAGCAGTGTGAGGGTGGAGGGGCAGATGTCCTGTGAGGTGGTAGGTGGTGGAGATGCAGTAGTGTGAGGGTGGATGGGCAGATGTCCTGTGAGGTGGTAGGTGGTGGAGATGCAGTAGTGTGAGGGTGGAGGGGCAGATGTCCTGTGAGGTGGTAGGTGGTGGAGATGCGGCAGTGTGAGGGTGGACGGGCAGATGTCCTGTGAGGTGGTAGGTGGTGGAGGGGTGGCAGTGTGAGGGTGGATGGGCAGATGTCCTGTGAGGTGGTAGGTGGTGGAGAGGTGGCAGTGTGAGGGTGGACGGGCAGATGTCCTGTGAGGTGGTAGGTGGTGGAGGGGTGGCAGTGTGAGGGTGGATGGGCAGATGTCCTGTGAGGTGGTAGGTGGTGGAGATGCAGCAGTGTGAGGGTGGATGGGCAGATGTCCTGTGAGGTGGTAGGTGGTGGAGGGGTGGCAGTGTGAGGGTGGATGGGCAGATGTCCTGTGAGGTGGTAGGTGGTGGAGATGCAGCAGTGTGAGGGTGGATGGGCAGATGTCCTGTGAGGTGGTAGGTGGTGGAGGGGTGGCAGTGTGAGGGTGGATGGGCAGATGTCCTGTGAGGTGGTAGGTGGTGGAGATGCAGCAGTGTGAGGGTGGATGGGCAGATGTCCTGTGAGGTGGTAGGTGGTGGAGATGCAGTAGTGTGAGGGTGGATGGGCAGATGTCCTGTGAGGTGGTAGGTGGTGGAGATGCAGTAGTGTGAGGGTGGATGGGCAGATGTCCTGTGAGGTGGTAGGTGGTGGAGAGGTGGCAGTGTGAGGGTGGATGGGCAGATGTCCTGTGAGGTGGTAGGTGGTGGAGATGCAGTAGTGTGAGGGTGGGTGGGCAGATGTCCTGTGAGGTGGTAGGTGGTGGAGGGGTGGCAGTGTGAGGGTGGATGGGCAGATGTCCTGTGAGGTGGTAGGTGGTGGAGGGGTGGCAGTGTGAGGGTGGATGGGCAGATGTCCTGTGAGGTGGTAGGTGGTGGAGATGCAGCAGTGTGAGGGTAGATGGGCAGATGTCCTGTGAGGTGGTAGGTGGTGGAGAGGTGGCAGTGTGAGGGTGGATGGGCAGATGTCCTGTGAGGTGGTAGGTGGTGGAGATGCAGTAGTGTGAGGGTGGATGGGCAGATGTCCTGTGAGGTGGTAGGTGGTGGAGAGGTGGCAGTGTGAGGGTGGATGGGCAGATGTCCTGTGAGGTGGTAGGTGGTGGAGAGGTGGCAGTGTGAGGGTGGACGGGCAGATGTCCTGTGAGGTGGTAGGTGGTGGAGAGGTGGCAGTGTGAGGGTGGATGGGCAGATGTCCTGTGAGGTGGTAGGTGGTGGAGAGGTGGCAGTGTGAGGGTGGATGGGCAGATGTCCTGTGAGGTGGTAGGTGGTGGAGATGCAGTAGTGTGAGGGTGGATGGGCAGATGTCCTGTGAGGTGGTAGGTGGTGGAGGGGTGGCAGTGTGAGGGTGGACGGGCAGATGTCCTGTGAGGTGGTAGGTGGTGGAGATGCAGTAGTGTGAGGGTGGACGGGCAGATGTCCTGTGAGGTGGTAGGTGGTGGAGAGGTGGCAGTGTGAGGGTGGATGGGCAGATGACCTGTGAGGTGGTAGGTGGTGGAGATGCAGTAGTGTGAGGGTGGATGGGCAGATGTCCTGTGAGGTGGTAGGTGGTGGAGGGGTGGCAGTGTGAGGGTGGATGGGCAGATGTCCTGTGAGGTGGTAGGTGGTGGAGATGCAGCAGTGTGAGGGTGGATGGGCAGATGTCCTGTGAGGTGGTAGGTGGTGGAGGGGTGGCAGTGTGAGGGTGGATGGGCAGATGTCCTGTGAGGTGGTAGGTGGTGGAGAGGTGGCAGTGTGAGGGTGGATGGGCAGATGTCCTGTGAGGTGGTAGGTGGTGGAGAGGTGGCAGTGTGAGGGTGGACGGGCAGATGTCCTGTGAGGTGGTAGGTGGTGGAGATGCGGCAGTGTGAGGGTGGATGGGCAGATGTCCTGTGAGGTGGTAGGTGGTGGAGATGCAGTAGTGTGAGGGTGGATGGGCAGATGTCCTGTGAGGTGGTAGGTGGTGGAGATGCAGTAGTGTGAGGGTGGATGGGCAGATGTCCTGTGAGGTGGTAGGTGGTGGAGAGGTGGCAGTGTGAGGGTGGACGGGCAGATGTCCTGTGAGGTGGTAGGTGGTGGAGAGGTGGCAGTGTGAGGGTGGACGGGCAGATGTCCTGTGAGGTGGTAGGTGGTGGAGATGCAGCAGTGTGAGGGTGGACGGGCAGATGTCCTGTGAGGTGGTAGGTGGTGGAGATGCAGCAGTGTGAGGGTGGACGGGCAGATGTCCTGTGAGGTGGTAGGTGGTGGAGGGGTGGCAGTGTGAGGGTGGATGGGCAGATGTCCTGTGAGGTGGTAGGTGGTGGAGATGCAGTAGTGTGAGGGTGGACGGGCAGATGTCCTGTGAGGTGGTAGGTGGTGGAGGGGTGGCAGTGTGAGGGTGGAGGGGCAGATGTCCTGTGAGGTGGTAGGTGGTGGAGATGCAGTAGTGTGAGGGTGGATGGGCAGATGACCTGTGAGGTGGTAGGTGGTGGAGATGCAGCCGTGTGAGGGTGGATGGGCAGATGACCTGTGAGGTGGTAGGTGGTGGAGATGCAGCAGTGTGAGGGTGGATGGGCAGATGACCTGTGAGGTGGTAGGTGGTGGAGATGCAGTAGTGTGTGGGTGGATGGGCAGATGTCCTGTGAGGTGGTAGGTGGTGGAGAGGTGGCAGTGTGAGGGTGGACGGGCAGATGACCTGTGAGGTGGTAGGTGGTGGAGATGCAGTAGTGTGAGGGTGGACATTCAGATGTCCTGTGAGGTGGTAGGTGGTGGAGAGGTGGCAGTGTGAGGGTGGATGGGCAGATGTCCTGTGAGGTGGTAGGTGGTGGAGATGGAGTAGTGTGAGGGTGGACATTCAGATGTCCTGTGAGCTGGTAGGTGGTGGGGTGCAGCAGTGTCAGGGTGGACGGGTCAGTGCCCTCCGAGGGGTGAGGTGGTGGCCTACCGTCTTCCCAAAGCAGGGTTCTGACAGACTTCCCTGTGCTTGTTGCTCCCTCCAGTGAATGCCTCCGCCCTCTTCCTGTGTGTTTGCTGGTGTCCTGAGGTGGGTGTGGTCTTGCCTTCCCTGCTTTGGGCTGTGCCTGCTGGTGTGAGCCTGGAGCCTTTGGGCACAGTGCTGGCGCTGTCACTGTGGGCCATGCTGCCTCTCTGCCCCAACCTGTGTGATGGATCAGGGAAGGACATGTTGGAGGAGCTGCCTAAGGCTGTGTGTGTTCTGGGAGGACAGTGATGCTGGTTCTTTCATGGCCCACGTTTCCTTGCTCTGCTATTGCCTATTTTTTTCAGTGCTGGGGATTGAGCCCTGGTTGCTCCACCATTGAGCCAGGCCCCCAGCCCTTTTTATTTTTTATTCTGTGACACAGTGTCCAGTTGCTTTTGCTTTTTTAAAGACATGTGCTGCAAGGAACTGAAGTGTTAAAAACTTTGGGTTGTCAAACTACCCCTCCTTTGTGCCTGGCCTGTGCTGGTACCTTTAGGAAGTTTGTTTGTTGAGTGATTCAGCAGACCCTCCCCTGCTGGAAGGCCCACTTCAGTCTGTGCAGCACCCAGCCCGGCCCGCAGAGGGCTGTTTCTGAGGCCGCGCTGTGCTCAGGCTCCCGTCCTGGGCTCCAGCAGCTGCTGTGTTTCTTCCAGCATCCGCCTTCTTGTGTTCCAGCCCTTTTGTTCATGCAGAGAAGCTTCAGAGTGACTTTGCTACCCATACCTGGAATTGTCAGGTGTGCAGATTTATGCAGGGCAGATGTCTGTATGGGGCTAGGTTTCCTGGGAACAGTGTTGTCTTCCTGATTATTCCAGTCCTTTATTTCGCTCAGTAAAGTTTGGTAATTTTCTTTAAAATTTTAGAAATTTTTTTAGATTTATTTCTAGATTTTTTTTTTTAATCTTTCATTGTTCTTGTGAAACAGTTTTTTGGGGGTACTGGGGATTGAACCTAGGGTGCTTTACCGCTGAGCCACATCCGCAGTCCTTTTTATTTTTTATTTTGAGATAGGGTCTTGCTATGGTGATGAGGGTGGTCTCAAACTTGCCATCCTCCCCCAATCAGCCTCCAGAGTTGCTGGGGTGTTTATGGCGGATTATACCTGGCATTCAGCAAAGATACATTTTGTTTTCTTGCTTTTTTAACTGGCAACATTATAACAGAATATATGTAGCAATACTTTTTCCTGAAAAACAACACCATCTTTGCCTCAGAGTTCAACTTTGAAGTGTACTTGCTGGGTGGTCCCCCATGTCTCTGTCCCTGCCACCACTGCTGGATCTTTGCAAGTCCTCAGCATTTCAGAGTAGAACCACGTAGCATGAGGTCTGTTGTGGTGGCTGATTTCCCAAGCATTGCGTTGGTAAGTCTCACTGTGAAAGGAAATATTTACTTTGGAGGTGTTGTGTTTTGGTTGTTTCTTTTAGGTTTTCTAAGCAGGTAAATAGTTATCTAATTTGTGAATAATTCCAACTTGATCTTTTATCCCTGGCTATACATTTTAATCTTTTAAAAATTTTCGGATTAACATCATTGAGCTATAACTCAATGTACAATAAAATGCGTCTCTTTTGAGAGTGCCTTTTGAGTTTTAGCCCGTGCATGCCCCACCCTTGTCTAGGTATAGAGCATTTCTGTTATCCCAAAGTGTGCCTGGGTCCTCTGAGGCCAGCTTCTCCCCTGGCCTGGACCCCACCTGTGGGCTTGCTCTCTGCAGACCACTTGACCTTTATACTTCCTGGAGGCTTCCTTGAAGGAATGTCCCCGAGGGTTGTCAGTCTGCCTCAGCAGTCTGCTTCTGCCTCTGCTTGAGAAACTGTTGGTTTGTTCTGCTGCCCACTGGTGGATGTTGGTCAGTCAGGCTTGACATCACCTTGAGTGCTACCTTGGACCTTCATGGGCCATCTTTGGGTGCATGTGTGTTCTCTTTTTCTTGGCTGACCATGTCAGGCGCCCCTTGTTCTTGTAGACACCACTCTGTGCTGTCGCCAGCGGCACGATCCTGCTGCTCTGCATGCTGTCCGGCTCTTGGTATTGTCTTTCTGACCAGGCCTGTGCGGGTTGTCTCCTTTGGGTTCTGGGGATTGAACTCGGGGCCTCATACGTGCTAGGCCAGTACTCTGTCAGTGCTGGCTGTTGTTCTTCATCTATTAAGATTCATGAAGTTCTAGGTGTGGGCCAGGCACGGCGGTGCACGCCTGTCATCCCAGCGACTTGGGAAGGAGAGGCAGGAGGACTGCAAGTTCAAAGCCAGCCTCAGCAACCTCATGAGACTCTGTCTCAAGATAAAAAGGGCTGGGTTGTGGCTCAGAGCACCCCAGTTTCCATTCCAGTACTGTAAGGGGGTGGGAGCAGGAATGCACGTTGTCCCAAGGTGCCGGCCCTTCTGGCGATGGCCTAGGTGAACACACGTTTCTGCTGCTCTGCTTATGCTGGGTCACGTGGGTTGTTAACCTTGAACCATCCTTTTGTTCTCCATCCTGTTTTGATGTCATATTGATGTTTAATTTTATAGCAAATGTCTGCTGTCTCTTTCTCTAGAGTGGATGATGAACTTGTTGTTGGACATGGTGCGAGATAAGACGTCCCCAACTGCCCTTGTACATCTGGCTTTTAAATTTCTCTACATCATCACCAAGGTAATATTTGCATAGACTGAGAGTTGACGGAAGCTTTCTTAACATACTGGTCAAAAGTTGCTCTCCAGAGTGTCCTGCTGAGGACTGTGGTCTCAGACAGCTGCAGGTCTCCACCTGGGAGCTCAGGTCTCAGTGACCTGGGGCATCCTTTGTCCCAGACACAAACTTTCTTATGAGGAAAAAGCAGAAAAACTTGGTGGAAATGGAAGTGCTGCTTGTACTTTACTGCAGGGATGAGCGTGGTGGGAATCTGGCCTGCAGACCCATGTCCTACTTCCTTGCAGGCTCCTGGTGGTGCCCACCTGGTGGCCCACACAAGGGGAGTCTGCAGGTCCCACCCTGGGAGTGAACTTGGAGCTGGCTCTGCAGGGGGCTTATGGTTGCTGAGGCCGCACATTGCAGTATTCCTGCAGAGGTCCTCGCTGGCAAGAGAAACTGTAGATGTTTATGGAAGCGTTAGTGAGTATGAGGATTTTTGATGCTTGTGGGGACCTACTCCTCAGGACTGTTGGGACAATCATGTGAACAAGGTAGAAGTGGCTTTTTTGTATTGTGTGTATTTCTGACGAGCTACAGAGCTTTGTTGGCTGATCTGGGTCAGAACACATTTAATGAGTGGGCTGAACTGGGAGGCAGAGCGCTCCTGAACTGTTCCTTGGATTTTGCTAAGTGGTGTCACTGGGGTGTGACAATTCCCCTACATCACTGGGGGCACTGAATGCACAGTGGGTAGGCTAGGAGCCCACAGGCAGCCCTGTGCCTCAGGAGGGCCAGTGGCAAGGCTGGCCCTTTCTGGCCTCTGGGAACATGGAGTCCAGCGGGGCTATGTGTCAGCTGCAGAGCTGGGGGAGGCGTGAGCCTGCGCAGGCTCCACTCTGTACCCACAGGCACCCTTGAGCACTGGGCCAGGGAGCCCTCCTGGAGTGATTTTTGATGAGAGGAGGAAGACCATGTTGTCACTGTGTATGTCATTCAGTGTCTTTTTATTTGGTAGGTTCGAGGCTACAAGGTATTTCTTCGTTTATTTCCTCACGAAGTAGCTGACGTGCAGCCTGTGCTGGACATGTTCTCGGGTCAGAACCCTACAGACCACGAGGTGCGCACTGCCCCCTGCCTGCTGCTCTCCGTGGGGCCGCCCCTCCTGCCCCCCTCATTCTGCCTGGTTTCCTATCATTCCCCCTCTTCTTTTGACGTTCCCTTTAGTTTCTACTTGTGGTGCTTTCACTTATTCTCCTATGAAGTGTGTCCTTTACAAAGAAAAGATACACTTTTAGCTTGAGTGTGACTGTGCTGGGTCCCCGAGGCCCCAGGGACTGACTGCTGGGGAGGACTGGAGGACCAGGACTCAGTGGAGTCATTCCTGGGGGTGGTGGTTGCAGCCAAGCACACCAAGCCAGTCAGCAAGGGGAGGGGTGCGGGGCAAAGCCAGGTTGCTGCTGCCTGGAGGGCACAGCGCATGGGCCACCCCCAACAGCACGGCATGGCCACACAGGTGGGGCATGGTCCCAGCCGAGCGCATGGGTGTTCACTGGGGCTGGTCGTGTAGGCACTGGTCTGGCTGGTGCCAACTGCAGAGCTGGGGGAGGCGGGTGCCTGTGCCAGCTCCGCTGTGTGCACCTCAGGCACCCTTGAGCACTGGGCCCAGGGAGCCCCGCTGGAGTCCATGTTCCCAGAGGCCAGAAAGGGCCAGCCTTGCCACTGGCCCTCCTGAGGCCACAGGGCTGCCCACTGTGCATTCAGGTGACTGTGCCTGCTGGAGACTTGCTGCTGTCTTCTCCGCCAGGGCCTCTCTCCTTGCTGCGGCTGGTACCTGTGGAAGGCCTGCACAGCTGGTGCGGACTCTTGTTTTTTAATTACTGAAATATAAGCCTTCCTTTCCTTTGTTTTGTGCTTTGCTGAGTGTTGGGGTGGAACCCAGAGCCCATGGGCACTGGGCAAGGGCTCCACCAGGGAGCTGCACCCTGGCTCCCGGGCATCCCTTTGTAGTGCCAGTCGAGAGTCTTTTGTTTACTTTTAAGTCTTTTCATCTGTCTCTCCTTTTCTCAAAAGGCCCGTTTGCACCAGGTACAGTGGCACATGCCTCTAATTCCATCAGCAGCTCAGGAGGGCTGAGGCAGGCGGATTGTGAGTTCAAAGCCAGCCTCAGCAACTTAGTGAAGCCCTAAGCATCTCAGCAAGACCCTGTCTCTCAAGAAAATACAAAAAAGGGCTGGGGATGTGGCTCAGTGGTTGAGTGCCTCTGGGTTCAATGCCCGATACCAAAATAAAGGCCCATTTACATTTTGGATAGGATTCTTCTGTGTTCATTCTGTCTCCTGTCTGTGCGTGTGGTGGGGACATGGGAGGATGTGGCTGAGGATGTGTGTGCCCCAGGCTCTGGCCAGTGGGAGAAGGCCTGGACCAGCACCTGGAGGAGCGCAGGCCCGCTGTCTCTGACAGGGCCTCTGTGGCTTGACTTCCTAGACCTGGGAAACGCGCTACATGCTGCTCCTGTGGCTCTCCATGACCTGCCTCATCCCTTTTGATTTTTCACGTTTTGATGGGAACCTCCTCACCCAACCTGAGGAGACACGAGTGTCCACGATGGACCGCATCCTGCGCATAGCTCAGGTGAGTGTGGCTGTGCCCTTGACCTGCTGCCCGCACCCTTCTCCGGCTTGTGCTGCCTTGAGGTTGTGTTCATTCAGTGGACTTTGGGTACTTTTGTGTTTTCTTGAACTCTGTTTTCCAGTGAGGTAAGATTCGCTCGCCCTATTTTGAATTTGGGATGATTGGGTAGAGCCCAGGGTGACAGGGCAGCAGATGTCTGTCCTCACTGGCGGTGCGGAGACTTGGGCTAGGCCCAGCCGTGATGCAGCAGCGGTATTATGTTCCACCTCATATTGGGTTTTCAACATTGTACAAGTAACAACGTTCAGCTATTTTCTAGGGAAACCTAGAAGATGAAGAGAAGCAAGAATGTTAAGTTGACATCTGTCAAATTCTTGCAGGCCTACCTGGCTGTCAGTGACAAGGCCCGAGACGCGGCTGCTGTCCTTGTGTCTAGGTAAGTCCTGGAGATTGCTGGCTGTGTTTGTTGATGGGCGGTTTGCGTGATGTTGGTTGCATGTGTCTGTCAGTCCATACAGAAGGACATCTGCACCTGCAGTGGTCATGCGAGGCTGGCCTGGGCTTGCAGAGTCACCCGATAGGTCTTGCCCAGGAGGCAGCCCAGAGTGTGCAGGGAGTCCCCAGGCGTGGCTGCCTCCTCTGGGTGGTAGCAGCCTCTGCCTTTGAGGGTCCCTTCAGGAGCAGCTCATGCCAGGGTCAGAGATCTGAGTGCACAGGTATGTGGCTTGTGGTGGAAGTCCCCAGATATCCCGAGAGACGGTCTCTAGTCAGCTGGGTTGGCCACCAGGACGGGATCCAGTGTGAAGGCGAGGAAGCTGGCGTGTGGCATTGAGGATGTCAGTGTCTCCTCTGATGGGATCTGAACATGTGGTAGTTACACAAGTTGAACAGTTTGGGTTTTTTCTCCTGGTTGGTGTTGTGAATCCTGTTGGTGGTTTCTGCGGGGCAACGACTGGCACCTCTGCCTTGTGGGTCCTCCACATGGTGGCAGACGCTGGCTTTGTCGAGTGTTGGGGGCCAGGAGATGTCTGACTGCTGTGCTCAGGAGTGGACCTGAGGAGGGGAGGACGAGCCTCGGCAGGGCGCCCAGCTGTAGCGAGGGCTGAGAGAGGGCAGGGTTCTTTCTGTTTACACGAGTGAGCGCTGTGGCCTGCTGCCCTGGAGCCGTGTGTCCACCCACACGTGGTCACTGTGCTCATGTGCTGCTTCCAGTCTGTCCCCAGGACCAGCACTTGCTCTGGACACTCTGCATACAGCCCCCACCCTAAGCCACATCCCGGGATGAGTTCTGACAGTGGAGTGAGAGTTCAGCGGTCTGAGCTGGAAGTACCGTGAAGGTCAAGGTGGAAAGTCAGGACGAGCCAAGAGCCCTCTGTTTGCCATGGGTGGGATCCTGCCGATGTTGCTGACCTCCTTAGTGAAGGGTGGTATCTGTTGTGTGATTCTTATGGTTCCTCTTATGGTAGATCCATGCTGAGCTGGGCCAGGGAAGGGCAAAACCTGAATCTGGCTCACTCCTGGGTTCCTGCGGGAGCAGCCAGCCAAGCCCGGGCACCTGGAGTGGGGCTGCAGTGCCACCTGGTGCCCAGCAGCTAGTGCGCTGTGCTGGAGCCCGTGCCTGTGGATCAGGACCCTCCAGGGTGGGCCCCAGGGTTGGTTGGGCAGGGGCAGCACCTGCCAGAGGCCTTGGGACTCCTTCTGACGAGCCTGTAGCTGCCTATGGGCGGGGAGAGTGGCCCTGTTGAGGCTCAAGATCACTCCCTGCTGTGCCTGCTTCCTGTTGGCTGAGCTCCTGCTCTCCAGCGTTCTCGGAGGCTCCTGATGCTGCCACCCCTGTGCTGCCACCCCTGTGCTGCCACCCCTGTGCTGCGGTGCTTCGGCAGGAAACCCTGTAGCAGGGAAAACACACCTTTTGTCTTGATGGCCTCAATCTGGAGAGTTAGATAGTTAACTAAAAGCAAAGGTGTGTTGGGCACACTGGCACATGAGGCCAGGAGTTCAAGGGCAACCTGGGCAACGTGGCGAGACCTGTCCCCCCCCCCCCCAATAAAACCAAGGTGTGCTCCGTAGAAAAGGTGGAAATTCTGGAATGTTGGGAAACACCTCGTGTGCAACTCTGGCTCGTGGTGGGGTCTGTCTTTGTTACTGAACCCACAGGGCGGCACTCACAGTGTGCCCTCCCGCCTTTCCCTGGCTTCCACGTGAGTGCTGAGGGGGCTCTGGACTCATGTGCCAGCGGCCCGCCCGCCGCATCAGCTCCCCCTCATGGCAGTGTCAAGGCTGACTTGGTGTTCGCTGCCTGGCAGGGCCTGGGCAGCGCCGCTCCACGCGGGGTCTGGCGTGTCTTGTGGGTGTCTGGCTGCTGGCTGTGAGCCTGGCGGGTGCCCTGCATCCTGATCCTGACTCGGGCCTCTGAGGTCAGGAGAGTCGTCCTTCCCTTCCCTTTAGTTATTTTGACTCTGAAGCCCAGCATCTCCGCGTGTGAGAGGTTTGTTCTCCCCTCGTAGGTCGAGCTGCAGCCTGTGTGACAGGTCCTGGAGGCTGCCTAGGTGTTTCAGCACCAGTCTGAATATTGCACTTTCCCGTTAATTTGTGTTGCTCTGTAACACGTGTGCACACGTGTGACGTTGAGCAGGGCTTGCCACCTGTATGTGCTGTGCTTTGCTGAGGCGGAGTCAGTGCACCCACAGCATTGGGCTGGCGGTGCTGTTGGATCCTGAGTGACCATGTCCCAGGAGATGGCATTTCTTGAGACTGGAGCCCAACCGGGTCCCCCGGCCACTCTGAGAGAGGCCTGGCCCTGTGGCCAGGGTTCTTTTGGCCATTGGTAGAGCTCACAGGGCCCTTGCAGGTGATAGTGGAGACCGCTGTTGAAGCGGCTGTGGCCTGTGGTGTTGTGTTCTTTGAAAGAGCAGGGAGCTTAGGGCTCAGACTCTTCCCAGAGAGTGGACAGCCCTGCTGGTGTGAGGCTTCATATATGTGTCTGTGCGAGAGAGACTTTTTAAATTTTCATTTGTATTTTGGGCTTTCTGATGTGAACATGTGCTTCTGTGCTTTTTACAAACAAGAAAAACAAAGATAGTGACTTGCTTCAATCTGTCCAGCAGCCTTAGGTTTCTACCTGTAGATTCGTGTGATCTCACTTGAGAAGGGACTAAAGTTAGACTCAGGTGTGGAGGGGGACCAGACCAAGCTGGGTCTTGTGGGTCTTCCAGAGGGGAACCCGAGCAGGCTCCAGGCTGGGGCTGTGTGTGGTCCAGCCTTCACCACTGAGTGGCTCTGGGCCTCACCCTGCACTTCTTCTGTACCCTGGGTGTGGCATCTGCTCAGAATGCCTGTATCTTCATCCTTTGGGGCTGAGTCAGAGGGCAGACTGAGGATGCAGCCGGTACTTCCTGGTGACAGCAGAGCCAGTGCCCAGGAAAAGAGTGCATGAATCTCAGGCCTTGCCCTAGAGCGAGGGTGTCAGGGGTCTCAGGGCCCCTTTCTGGATCCACCACATAGAATTCCCTGGACGAGGCCCTGGAGTCTTTTTATTTATTTATTTTTTTGGTACCAGGGATTGAACTCAGGGGCACTTAACCACTGAGCCACATCCCCAGCCCTTTTTATTTTTTATTTAGAGGCAGGGTCTCACTACGTTGCTTAGGGCCTCACTAAGTTGCTGAGGCTGGCTTTGAACTCGCGATCCTCCTGCCGCAGCCTCCCAAGCCACTGGGATTTTAGGCATGCGCCTCAGCGTCCTGCGGGAGTATGTCTTTCTGACTGCACACTGAAGTCAACCACCAGGCTTGCTGACCAGTGGGGGTCTCCAGGAGTGCACCGTGAACTGCGGACACCAGGACAGCAGTAGAACCTGGGTTTTCTTCCTGACTTGGGAGAGGTCACGCTCTCCCACGCTCAGTCATAGCATTAGTGGTTGATGCTGCTGTCTTCCCTCACATGGCGTGGGAGGGGGTCTGCACACAGCAGCCTCACCTGGGCACCCTCCAGGGCACACCCCCTCACTGGCAACCTGGCATGAATGTCAGGACCAGGAGGTCCCACAAGAATTGGACCCAGATGTTTGGACAGAGGGTGCCAAGCACCCAGGCATGTCCTGTGGGAAGGGCTGCCCAGAGGAGGTGGGGTCCTACCGTTGGTGGGAAGTTCAGGGTGCCAGCTGTCCCCCTGCCAGTGGGTTCTGTAAGGGGCACGATCCATGAGGGTCCAGTGCTGTGCTGTGCTGTGCTGTGTATGCTTGGTCTGAGCATCCTGGATGTTGGAGGTGCCCCGAAAGGGTCTGTCACCAAGAAAGCATGCAGCCAACTCTGACAAGGACTAGCTGGACAGCTGGACGATGGATGGGGAGGCAGGGACAGGCAGCATCGAGGCCGTTTTGCCATTGCCTGGCGGCTCTAGCTCACTCCTCCCTGAGCCACTGCTCGGGGCTCCACACGGCCCCACATCTTGGGAGGTGGCCCTACACTGGAGAAGAGCTCAGACCACCTCTGACTCCTCAAGCCCCACCCCGTCTACCTGAGGTCTTGGATACCAGGGCCGGGCCCCCTCCACTTTGCTTCCCATTCCCCTGCCCCAGCCACTCTTGCTGCTGGCACAGCAGAGCTACGTAGGGACTCAGCGCCCCCCTCTCAGGTTTCCTGGTGGTCGCTCTGTGCCCACTTTCTGGGGAGGTGGCCCCTCCTCTCCTTTCCTTGCTGGTCCTTCCTGACGTCCCCTGTTGGTGGTTTGCTGTCTCTTTGGGTGTCAGCCCTGGAAAGGCAGGACTTTGTGCTGTGGCAGGGCCAGTCTTGAGCCAGAGTCAGAGAGCTGGGCACTGGCCTGAGAGCTATGGAGGAGAAAGGGTTCTGGGGCTCTGGGTTCCTGGGAGAAGGAGGGTGGCACTCTGCACTCTGTTAGCCTGGGGTTGGGGTGGAAGGTGGCCATGGTAGGTACTGTGGACAGGTCCTTGGCTGAGTTGGCTTCTGGGTTGGGCTGTTGAGGATGTGGTGTTCTGAGGTCGAGGGCTGTGGTTGGGAAGAGGGTGGGTGGGCATGCCTGGTCCTGGTGGGGCAGAATGCCCAGTGGCCTCTGAGGCTTTGAGCTGAGTTGGGGCTCAGGAGGCAGGAGGTGGGGACTGTGAGGACCCTGTGGGGCTACGACTGGGCAGTGACTTGGTACCCTGGAGAGAGGGGCTGACAAAGGGGCCACTGTGGGTTGCAAGCCTAGTATAAGGACAGGGGGATTGGGAGGTCGCCCTGAGGGCCTCGTGTGCAAGGGTGGCTGGTGGGAAGCAGGGAGCTCTTGGTGTGTTGGAGCCTTATCACACGTCTGTGCCCTGTTCCCTCGCAGGTTCATCACCCGTCCTGATGTCAGGCAGAGGAAGATGGCTGGCTTTCTGGACTGGAGCCTCTGCACCTTGGCCCGCTCTTCCTTCCAGACCATGGAGGGGGTCATAGCCATGGACGGGACTCTGCAGGCCTTGGTGAGCACTCCCACGCGGTGGCCCTGCGCTGTGCAGCAGCCGGGAGGCGGGCTTGCTGGGGTTCCAGCCGCAGAGACTGGACGGTGGCCTGCCTCAGTTCAGAAAAGTGCTGTGGGGCCCCATCGCCACCAGGGGGCGGTGGTGCACGCAGAGTGCAGCTGGGGCCCTTCAGGGCATGTTGCCCTTGCTTAGTTTTGTCACAGAGAACAATTATTGGAGCCAGCGCCCCCAAATGAGAGGTGGCTGGAAATCAGATTTTGTTCATGTCTGCATTTTAATAGACCCTGGTGCCCTTTACTGTTCTGCTCTGCCAGTCTCGTGTGCTGTCTGTGGTGCTGACGAGGCAAGGCCTTAGTGGGGATGTTCTGGAGGGGTGGCGGCCCTCCTTGACCTTGGGCTCTGCTCCTCCTGCTCTTTGCTCTTTCTGCCACCGCCACAGGTGAAGAGCGGGTCTTCCTCCCTGGAGCTGAGCAGGCTGGCGGCCCACTGAGGACAGCAGGCCTTGGGAGCTGCTCGTGGAGGGTGTTTGCTTCCTGCCTGTGGGTCCCTGGGGGACTTGCTGCGGGGAGTGGGAGCGTTGCTGTGTCTGGCTGGACTTGGGGAGGGTGTCCAGCTCAGCATCTGTTTCTCTTCATGGTGTTGCTGTGGTCCTCACGAGGTTCTCATCACAGTGTGTGGGAAAGAAAGCCGACAGAATAGAGCATTCCCGTGTCCTAGCTCCAGTGGTCTCCACAGCAGTGTGCTGTGACAGCAGCTCAAAGTCAGCACGTAGCGGGCGCAGGGCACGCCTGTGATCCCAGACACTGGGCGGGCTGAGGGAGGCTGGAGGGTCACAAGTTCCAGGCCAGTCTCAGCAACTCAGTGAGACCTTGTCTCTAAATAAAAAGGGCTGGAAGTGTAGCTCAGTGGTAGGGCATCCCTGGGTTTCAGTACCCCTTACCACAGAAAAATAAAACAAAACATGAAGAAAAGCTCCAAGTGTGACCTGCATACCACCAGCATAGGCAAGCGAACAGTAGTACGTCAGGGCTGGAACAGCCCCTGCCTGCTCTGTCACCACGTGGCTCTGTTGTCGGGCATGCGTCTCACTGAGCGGCTTCCTCGAGCCCTTCTGCTTGGAGCGGCCTCAGAGCTTCACTCCTTCTGTGGCTGTGAGGGCGGTCTGTTGTGAGCTGGCGGCCATGCACTTCCCTGGTCGAGCTTGTGCTGGACCTCCTGTGTCCAGCTCCCTCGGCTGTCCAACAGTAGTCCTTTCTGTGATGCTGGGAGGGAACCTGGTTTTCTGCACACGTTGGGCAAATGCTGTGCCCCTGGATTATACCCCAGCCCCTGGGCAGACGCTCTGCCACTGGATCATACCCCAACGCTGAGAGTGGATTAAAACTTAGCAATATTTTGTTTCTAATGTGTTTTTTAAACTTGCGCATGTACACCATCAGGTTGATGAAATGTGGGGTGTCCTGCTTTTGGGGTTTGCAAGTACAGTGGGTATCCTGCAGCCTGGAGGTGCTCATTCCAGCTGTGTGTGGGGTGGTGGCCAAAGAGGGTGTTATTCCCGTTTTCAGTCGAATTGTACAGTGGAGGTCAGTGCAGGCTAAGGTTGACCCTGAAGGTGCTGGGGGTGGGGTCCCCACTATGTACCCACTGTGCCTTTCTCCAAGGGACCTATGGGATGTCCTGTTATTTTAGTTTTTGGTACTGGGGATTGAACTCAGTGTGCTCTGCCACAAAGCTACATTCCTGGCCCTTTTTTCTACTTTTTAAATCAGAGACAGGTTTCTTAAGCTGCCCAGGCTGACTTGGAATTTGGGATCCTCCTGCCCCAGCCTCCCGAGTAACTGGGAAAACGGGGTGCCACCCTGCTCAGCAGCATTCCTGACGGGCTCTCGGGGGTCTCCTGCAGCCAGTTCCTTGCCATGGCCTAGGGGAGGTCACCTTGATGTGATCGTCCAGGGACCCTCAGGCAGGTGAGGCTTAGGTGGCCCCTGCCCAGGTGGGAGAACGGCTCCTGTGGGGGAGTCATGGCCTGTTGTCTTGGGGCCACTTCAGGCGACCCTGGGCTCCTCCCTGAGGGGTGGGCAGTCCTCTAGCTTGAGGTGGCCGTGGTGCCTCTCGTCCACATGGGCTTTGCCCACAGCTGCTAACCCTTTTTTTATTATTTTTCTTTCTCAATTTTTTAAATATTTTTTGTTATCAACGGGTCTTCGTTTTTTTTATATGCTGTGCTGAGAATCACACCCAGTGCCTCACCCGTGTTAGGCAAGCGCTCCACCACCGAGCCCAGCCCAGCCTGCTTTTCCCTTTTGATGGTCTTCTGCACTAGTGTTCCCTTCCCACTGCAGGTGGCTCATGGTGGCTGAGGCAGCAGCCTCGCTGCCTGGTCCCTGCCCTCTGCTGGACTTGTCTTTGCAGAATCAAGCAGCGTGGGGCTGCCTTTTATTTGGATGTCTCCAGGTTCCGAGTTTGCAGGAGGGAGGCTTGCTTTTTCTCTGGCCTCCTGAGGTCTAAGGTCTCCAAGGGCTTGGAAATGCTGAGTCTCTGAACCTTTGCTGCCCAGCTGGGCGTGTGTTGGCAAGGGATGAGGAAGACGCGGCTCTCCCTCTGGTTGGGGCAAAGCGCTTCTGCTCTATCTAGAGAGTTTTGCCCCGAGCGCTGATGAGCAATTGTCTGACGTAGCCAGCTGAAATCCTAAGGAGCAAATGAAGGGAGATGCTGTCAAGCAACAGCCCTGGGCCTGTCCACCTGTGGCTCCCGTGCCAGGCTTGTCCCCGCTGCCCCTGCAGAGCCTGGTCTGCCCGGAGTCACGGTTTTCTTTTTCTCCTCTGAGGGGCCCTTGGGGTCTAGCACAGCTCCTGGGCAGGAGGAAGTTGGGCTGAGCAGGCGGAGTGGTTTCGCCCAGGCTCCTCAGACCTGCAGGCAGAGGGCGGGGTGTCCAGTGCGTGATGAAACTTGCAGGTGATTGTGCTTTGGGGTTGCAGTTTCCTTTGATGCACTTGGCTTCCTTTTCATGCACCTGTTCATTAGTGTGGGTTAGGCGAAACAGGTGAACCTCGGAACAAGTCCCGTCGAAACTAGGGCTGGTTTTATTTCCCTTGAAGCACAGTCCTCTCTCAGCGATGGCTTTTAACTCTTGAGGGAGGGAGATGAGTGCTCACCTCGTTTCCCTGGAAGGCTCCTTCCCGCGCACTTTGTTGAGCACCTATGCTGTAGACCCACTTTGAGCATGAGGTTAATGCCAATTGAGGAGATTTGAGGAAAGAAAACACTATTGAAAAGAGAAAAACGGTGTCATTTGAATGTGTAGTGTCTGCTTGCTTATTGACAGCTGTGCCCTGTGGGTTTACCACTCCGACTGCACGATTCTGCTGGTTTCAGGTGGGTTTCCCCTTTGCACCACCGCAGTGGCTGGGAGAGGGGTGGAACTTGGTGGTAAAGGGCAAGGTGTGGCTCCTGTGCCTGTGCTGTTAGGGTGGCGTCTACTCTTTGCAGGGGGGTCCGTTGATTTCTCTCGATCATCACAGAAGCAGAAGCTTGTTAGAGGGGAACACAGCAGCATTAAGACCCAGGAGGGCCAAGGAGCGGTGCTGTAGCCCTGAGCCTGTTGCTGGGCACTGCTGGGGGACATGCCAAAACTGGTCAAGTTCCTGGTATGGGGCCTAGCCCCACTGTCCTGGCCTGACCTGCCAGACCTCCACTGGCCCACGGAGGCCGATAGGGTCTGGGCCTCAAGCTCACAATGCACTTTGGCCACCCCTGGATCTGCCTCCCCCAGTGACTGGAGGCACAGTTTGATTCACTGTGTGCACCTCCTAGAAGGACAGGGAGAAGCCTCTCTGGCCCCCGAGGCCTGTCAGGCTGATGTGTGCTCTTTAAGACAGGGTTGGGAGGGTCTGGGATTTGGTGGCTCTCCCGGGCTCACACCCAGTGTCTGGTGCAGGCTCTGTGTGGCCTAGTTCTAGTGTGAGGCAGGGTTTTGGGTGGGGAGAGGGCAAGAGCTGTGGGGAACCTGTGCACTCAGTTCTGTGTCTTTAGGTTCTGGAAGGCCGTTCCTGGGCCGGGCTTCAAGAGACACTGGACAGCCAGCTCTGGCTGTCTGAATTTCCCGTAGCCAGCATCTTGGGTGTGAGTCCTGCAGAATGCAGGGTCCTGTACACGAAGGGAGGATCTGTGGGCCCCTGCCCCGGCTCCCCTGGACCTTTGTTTCTCGCTTGCCATTCTTGCCTCTAGGTAGAGAATCCATTCCTGACAGCACTTTTAACAGTCTTTGCACCCAAACCGTCAAGATGACCATGTGCAGTACCTGGCTCTGCTCGACGCCCAAAGCGCCCATGCATGCTTGCCCCCTGGCCCCCGACTCCTCGCACGGTCTACGCGCACTCCACCCATACACGCACGCTTGCCGCCGCTTCACTCATACGCCCTCTGCCTCCAGACACACATGCGTCCATTCCCTTTCCTGCCTGGCGCAGGCGCTCCCAGGCCACTCCCTCGCAGGTTGTTTCCCCACCCTGTTCCTGCACGCCTTCCATTGGGCCGCCACTCCAACACCCGCACGCCTCCCACAGGACTGCCACAGCTGCCACCACCCCACCACGTCTCCCATAGGACCACCCGCACCGCCTCCCACGTGGACCGCCAACCCCCCACATCCTCCCACAGCCTCCCACGGGGACCGCCACCCCCCCACATCCACATGGCCTCCCATGGAGACCGCCACCTCCCCACGTACTCGCACGTCTCCCACGGGACCACCCGCCTCACACCCCTGTAAGCCTCCAACGGGACCCTCACCCCCCAACCCTCCCACGGCCTCCCTCGGGGACTGCCACCCTCACACACACACCTGCATGGCCTCCCATGGAGACTGCCACCCCCCACACACCTGCATGCCTCCCACAGGGACTACTAGTCCCCTCCCCAGAATGCCTCCCCAGGCCCCCACCCCCTGTCTGACCAGTGGCACTGGCCCGGCCCAGGAGCGTGGCCCGGGGAGGCCAACC